AAAACCATTTTTGTGCATCATCAGTTTGGCGCCGTCTGTGGGAATCAACAAAATTCTCACTCCTGAACATTACGTCCATTAATTAATGGCGATCACTACTCGATCCGTGAACCAACACGAAGACAATCCTCCACGAGAGGAGGAGGTTGCCCCCCCGCCTATCAACCCTGTTCCGGATACTTTAGCCCCGAATCTCCAACAAATATTGGAGACCATGCAGCAACTGGTTGCTCAAAACCAACAGTTACTGCAACTCATACTTGCTGGACAAGGAGGAGCACCACACGGAGGTGCACAACATAGAGCACCCCAAGGAGCTCCACATCCTGGACATCAAGAAGCACCACGCCCTGTTGCTCCACGCCCGGGTGCCCCATTGGGCACCCCACTTCGGAAAGCCCAACATGAGGGAGCTGCACCTCCCCCTCCCCTTGCTTTCCAGGGAGAGGACCCTTATCTCCAAGAGGATGAGGGTGAAAACCAAAGCATGGGGTATGGAAGCCACTTCTATGATCATTCCAGAGGAGCCCCCAATCATTGGGACGAGAAAATAAAGGAGGTACAAAATCAACTCGGTGATGTCTTCAACGCCATGAAGGCCCAGGGACCCGAGACTGTTGACCACCTGGTAAGGCGTACTGATACCCCTTTCAAATCTGATGTAGCGAACTACCCCCTCCCTCAGAAGTTCAAGATGCCATCTGTGGAGACCTTTGATGGAACAAAGGATCCACTGGACCACCTCGACACTTACAAGACCTTGATGCAATTGCACAACGTACCAGACGAAATCATGTGCAGGGCATTCCCAACCACATTAAAGGGGTCTGCCCGACAGTGGTTTGCTAAGCTCTCCCCCACCTCTATTGCCTCTTTCGCCGAGCTTAGCAGATCATTCGTCTCACACTTCATAGGAGGGCGTCGCCACCAGAAGCCAGTTACGCACCTGCTTAGTATAAAGCAGGACCGCAAGGAGAGCCTGAGGAGTTACCTCACTCGTTTTAACGAGGAGGTACTCCAAGTTGATGAACCCGACGACAAGGTGACGATGACCGCCTTCTTGGGTGGCCTCCGTTCATCAAGTTTCCTTTTCTCAGTTCTGAAGCGCCCACCGAAGACCATGCCAGAACTATTCATAAAAGCTCAAAGATATATGAATGCTGAGGAAATCAACAAGTTTAGGCAAGGTGGATCATCTCATAGATCACCAGAAACTTGACCTGCCTCTGCACTGTTCTCAAACAGGCAGCCTATCTCCAGCTTAACGGCTCTCTCAAGGGTCGCCAAAAAAAAAAAAAAAAAAAAAAAAAAAAAAAAAAAAAACTTGGCCTCTGCACTGTTCTCAAACAGGCAGCCTATCTCCAGTTTAGCGGCTCTCTCACGGGTCGCCAAAAAACTTGGCCTCTGCACTGTTCTCAAACAGGCAGCCTATCTCCAGTTTAGCGGTTCTCTCACGGATCGCCAAAAAACTTGGCCTCTGCACTGTTCTCAAACAGGCAGCCTATCTCCAGTTTAGCGGTTCTCTCACGGATCGCCAAAAAACTTGGCCTCTGCACTGTTCTCAAACAGGCAGCCTATCTCCAGTTTAGCGGTTCTCTCACGGATCGCCAAAAAACTTGGCCTCTGCACTGTTCTCAAACAGGCAGCCTATCTCCAGTTTAGCGGTTCTCTCATGGATCGGCAAAAAAAAAAAAAAAAAAAAAAAAAAAAAAATAAAACTTGGCCTCTGCACTGTTCTCAAACAGGAAGCTTATACCTCAAGCTTAAAGACTCCCTCATGGGTCGCCAAAAGCTAAGTCTCAAAAAGTGTAGCTCCCTCACGAGCAGTTCGTCAACTCTGTCTTTGCTCTCGCGCAAGCAGCCTACTTCTCTCTCTCTCCAAGTAATTATGTGAGATATTTTAATGTTTGGAATAACATTATTTTTGTCATCACAAGTAGGTTCTCCCGAGGCAGCCCTAGGCTCACCCAAGGCGCCCAGCACCTGGAGAAGGGCTTGATCATCAAAAGCAGCACCCAAAGGTTCCTTACTACTTGCAATGTCTAGCCCAATGCCTAGAAGTGTGCCTGACTGCTGTTGCTCGTCAAAACAAAGTTGCCCAGTAGCTTGAAGGCTGTCTGGCCCTTCAAAATTGCGCAAAGCAGAATTTTCGGCGTAAAAATCAGCACCTAAGACGCCCAAATCAGCACCTCGAATGAGAATCGGATCAGCCCGTGCTCCCAGGCCACTGCCTAGCTCTCCCTGACAAACCTTGGACTGATTTTCAGCGCCCCCCGATGGAAAAATGCTGCTGCCCAGCGCAGCAGATTTGAAGCTGTCCGGGACAGCAGAAGCAGCAGCTAGGCCGCTGCCCAGCGCACCTGGGCTGTCCAGGACAGCAAGCCCAGCACCCAGGCAGCTGCCCAGCGCCCCTGGGCTGTCCAAGACAGGAGGAGCAGCCCCTAGGCAGCTGCCCAGGCCCCCATCGCGCACAGAACAGCCGCCCAGCTGCGCGCCCGCGCTGCGCAGCCGCGTGCCAGCGCTGCCCAGCCGCGCGCCCAGCGCGCCTGCGCTGCCCAATCGCGCACCCAGCCGTCTCCCTTTCTTCAACCTCCATCACTCCCTCTTCAAAATAAAATGGGAAAGATTTGAATTTAAAAAAAAAAAAAAAAATGTAATCAATGCCTCCTTCTCCAAGTCTCCTTGGACATGGGGCATCGGGGGGCAAATGATGGGTTAAGCCCAAATAGTCCAATTTATGTATTAAAGCCCAACCCCGGTTGAGGAGCCCAACCTCATCGTGAACCCACCAAGTCCAAGACAGACCAAGGCCGGCTAGACTTCTTGCTTAGCACGTCACCAAGAGGAGAGTACGGTTGAACTTCTTGCTTAGCACGTCACCAAGAGGCCAAGGCCGGTTGGACTTCTTGCTTAGCACGTCACCAAGAAGAGTGCACGAGAAGCTTATCAACGGTCCAATCTTTGAATCACGTTTCCTTCAAGAGTTCCCCAAACTCTTCCTTCCGTTGAGGATAAGTCGTGATCTCCACCGAAGATAATCTCTAAGCTGCGATAAAGAAGCCTTGAGGATATGTTATGATCTCCACAAGAATGATCTCTTATCTACTATAAAATGGCTCTAATCTGAGAGAGAAGGGGACACATGCTCCATCAGAGACTTTCAGAAGACGAACCGACTACCGGAGATTATTGTTTTTCTCTGATTCTCCATTCCCCCTCTCAAAGCTTGTATCTCCGTTCTCCATACCTTTGAATCAATAAAATACCCGGCGACTGAAGCCATTGAAGAGTGGACGTAGGTCGAATTGACCGAACCACTATAAATTGTGTCTTCTTTAATTTTCTCATTGATTTCATTGCATTTATTATCCATACTTGACAGGTGGTGTGCAAAACCATTTTTGTGCATCATCAATAGTGATCAAACGTGACGTATCGAAAGAAAAATAATAGGAAGGAATTGAATAGTCGTTTGAGTGAAATTAACATGTAATTTTTCGATTCAACTCTTAAGTATTTCAATAATGCTATTTCAATTATCAGAATAAAGGACTGAGATCTTTAACAAGAGCAAAATGTAATTTCTGAGATTTTCTTATAAAAAAAATTATAAGTAGAAGAAAAACTCCAAAGCTGAAAAAGAGTAAAATACTTTTTTATGTCTTTGAACATGGTCAGTAACTCTCTCTATTGAGGTATGGGTCCAAATTGAATAAAAAGAATTAGCATTAAGAGAGATAAGATTGAATATGTCTGATTATTCTTATATCTTGTAATATCGGGACTTTTATGTAGTGGGATATTTTTTTTCTTTTTGTCCTTCGTATGTACTAATTCTTGTACTAGAACAATTTTTGGGTGACCTAATCTTATCTTCTCGACAGATTTTTCATGGTTTGTTTGTCAGCCTTGCCCTTGACCAAAACCAACTTATTGTATTATCTTTTGTTGTGATTTATATTTTACACTTGGTGAGGATTGGACTGAGGATTTAGTGGTGGGTGCTTTTATTTTAGAGTTTTTTGAAGGTCCGTACCTTAGCTCAATAGGATTTCAAAAAAACTCACTAGCCAATTTGCTTTTAGATTAACCCCAGTTAAAAAATTAAAACAATAAACATAACTAATGTCTTTTAAAATTACAAAAATAACAATAATATCATAACGTAATTGAAACACCTAATCTATAAAATCACGTCATTCTTCTCCATAAATACATATATCGTTAGACAAGTACACTAAAAAAATCATTCTTTTACTGGTCTTTCAATTATTGAAGGGCCAAATAGAAAAATACTTACAAAAATTATCAAAATTTAATGGGTCAATTAAAAATTATATAAATCTAATGGTGGAAATTCTAATTTTTTATACTTTAGAGGACCCAGTTGTAGCACTTCTACTACATTAGCATAAACGGCAAAAAAAAATTTAGAAAACCTAACCACAATTTCATGCCCAACTTTTGCCTCTGATACCACTTGCCACGGCGGCAAGTTATGGCCATGGGTTTCTATAATGTAAAATGGCAACATGACATACATCAGAGCGGATCTAGATCCCCAGTACACTTTTTCTTCAATTTCTTTCTTGACACATCATCCACCATTAATGAATGAAAAACCTACTCATATACGATGAGTCTCACTTAAATACATGGTGGATAATGTGCTAAGAAGAAAATAAAAAAAAATATACCGGAAAAAATCTCACTCCCATAAGAGCCAATTGGTTCACAATCAATGTGAAGTTTTTTGTAATGACAACTGGCAATGCATACATATGAATGATTGTTTCAAATTACTGCACATTATAGAGTCAAACAGAATAAAAGACTAAAAGTTAGAAATGTGACATAAACCATTGTTCTATGCAAATATAAGGATCTTGCAAAAGCACTTGACAACACCTCAAAGAGACCAATTGGTGTAAAATCACAACAGAAACTAGGGTTGCAGGAAGCATCACTACTCTTGAGTGGTTTGAATGGTCTGTCAAATGCTATTCACCTCCCATCATCTGCAAATATGAGGCGTAAACAGTCCCAGTTAAATCCTAATTGCAAGAAGTATTTGTTTTTCAACTGTTTCGGAAAAATATGAAAATTTTTCACTCTATTCTGGAGAAAAAAGGATAGAATTATGATAGGGGAGCACAAGTCATCTTACAAGTAATACTCATCCAGGATCCTTATTATTGTTGTGATTCATGGGTCATTTGAAATACAATATGCAGTCCAGGGTTGTTAAAGAACACAGTAAGTACCTTAAAAATATCTCCAAACATCCCCTGCAGAGAGCTTCTACGCCGTACCCCATAGAACTTCTCTGCGATTACATCTAGCAACTAAACCATAATTTGTGGGTGTTAAATTTGAAGAAAACAAAACAAGACAAAAGATGGATAAAAAACAGTTGTTGTAGAAATCTGAGTTGTTTATCAAGGACAAATAAAAGAACAGCAAACAAAACAGGCAATCTCAAACAGTATGCATAAGGTGGCATACTAGCCAAAAAAAAAAAACCTACGCACCTCGCCAAATGTAGGATCTTTATCTATGCTTGACCTGTAACTTTGTCTCAACATATTAAATAAAGGTAAAGCATCTCTCTGCAACCTGCATTGATACCATATGATACTTTGTTCATCAAAAAAGTAAAAATGTTGCCTTTATCAAAAGTAGGACAGAATACCACCAGTGCAGATGGCAAGATATTGCAATTATTTTGGCAAACAAAAAAATAAACAAAATCACAAAAGATTAACCAATTTAGGTATAAAGGAGCTCTAAGAGCAGAAAGAATCAAAGCAGAAAGGAGACAATGATTTGATAAACACAGAGAGAGATGGAAGAAGGAGATTAATTTTCCCATATATTTCTTATCAGTGAAGCTAGTGAAACATTCCATCCATTACATGATATGAATCTTTTCTTCCTTTGTCAGCAGAAAATGATGACACTCAAATCAACTGAAACCATTTGTAGTTTTCAAGCTATGACACCCACATACTGACTTGTCGTGCCTATGTAACTTTACTTTGGAGTGTCACCAAAATTCTAGTAACAAGAATGTTACCACATAAATGCTCTAAGGATTAGATATGGAAAAAAAAATTGAATACCACTTACGTTGGCAAAAGATAATTGATGAACTGGATCAGATCTGATTGTGGAAAGTCAAGCTCCTTTGATTGAACTTGCTTCCTTAACTCATCCATAAGATTATTAGCATCTCTCAGGTTACCTAGAGATAAATACCTATGAGGAAAACAGAAATTATGGAATCTCATTCAAACATGAATCAATAAAGCTGCAAGTAACCAGAAAAGCTGAAATCCTGAAAGCCTATAACATGCAGAAATTACAATTATCCCACCTTCAGTTTCAGAAATTACAATTATCCCAGTTGGCTAATGGTTAACTAATGGAGCTGACGAAAACAATGAAATGGCCACATTACCCTTTGCTCATAATCAATTAAAACTTTATCACACAACCTGTCTGCCAATCCCCATACCTGGAACTAACACTAACCCTAACCCTAAAAAAGACTGTTTCTGTGTTTGTTCTTCCTACCCCTTCCCACCCATCACCTACCTCCTACACTCCCTTCCCCACCACGCCTCCCCAAACCCCCTTCCTTCTACCCCACCACCACAAACCCACACCACCACCCGTCACAACTTCCAAATCCAAATCTGCAGACACATTGTGTGTAGAGGGAGCAAAGAGTGAGAAAAAGGGTCTTGGATTTTGGGGTTTTTTTTTTTTTTTTTGTTTGGGGGGGGGGGGGGGGAGGGGGGTTGGGTGTTCCTAGGATTTCGAATGAGGTTGGTGGTGGGGGGCCTGAAGAAGGGTGGTTAATTTTCCTTTTCGATTTTAATCATCAATGTTTTATTGTCTCGGGGTTTAAAATCTACGAAGATATTTTATAAGATTAGCTAGGAGAAAGAGATGGGTTTCAGCCCTTTTTGGTTTGCATCTCAAAAACTATTTTCTGTTTTAAAAACTATTTGACCAATTGTTTTTTATTTTTGTTTTTAGAAAACTGAAAAACAAAAACTTGGTAGATTTAAAGAACTGTTTTTGAAACAATCTTTCTAGAATTTAGAAAATATCACCACCACCACCACCCAGTCAAGCACACCACCACGATGTCCACACTTCTACCACCACACTTCCATCAGCATAAAACCACGATCACCACACTTCCACCACCACTCCAACATTTTTGTTTTCATTGTTTTTTGGATTACTGTCCAACCAAATTTTATTATTTTCTATTCCGTAAAACTGTTTTTGGAATCATATAACCAAACAAGTTCAGCGATATAAAAAAAACTAAAAATAATTTTTTAAAATTTTTCCCAAAAATAATTTTTGAGTACTATTTTTTGAGATAGCAAACCAAAAAGGGTCTCATTTTTCTTTTCAACCATAGGAGATTAAACTGCTAAAAGCTATACCAAATGGACTAAAATGTAATTTGGCCATTTGTATTTTAGTCAACAGATCCTCTTATGACTTGACTAAAACTATGTTGAGTGTCACTTACAGAAGCAAAAAAAAAGGAATCCCATATGCCCTCTAAAATAAGTCACCTAGAAATTTGTGAGAATCAAGCTAATCTTTTCATAGATATGCGTAGAAATCGCTATTAATAGTAGAAAGAAAAAAACTTGTGGTCCTTTAAAATAGTAGAAAAAACTAATCAGAGTATTCAGCCAAAAGGGAAGTTGTATGAAAAATTAATGCCTGGCGAGTTATAGAAAGGAGTTGAAATGAGATTTATGGTTTAAGATTGAGAGTCAAAGGGTAACAACGTCTGTGTAGGATGGTCAGTGACAATAAGGAACTTAAAATGCAGAGGCGAGAACACAGTATTCAGACACACTTACATCAAGATTGCTCGCGCAATGGCTACATCATCTTCACCTGGATAACACTGCATACACGGAAGAAGAAATGGGTGGAAACCATGCATAACCATTCAAGAACAAAAAATTATTAAGATACTCATGACATGGATCTTGGAAAGAAGGAAAATCAGTTATTTTGTCAAAACTGATGGTATGGCATGGGGTAGAAAAGTATCCAAGTAGTCAATAAAGTTACCGTGTTTTAGGGACTATGCATGATTTTTAACAAGTATGCATAACTGAACACCATGATTATCGTTCACAACAAGAATTTAATTTCAAATTCAGACTTTGTACTTAAAGATATACCTCATGTAAACATAACATATCTATAAGATATTCAATCAAACTTACAGGGAATTGTCACTAGTATTTCAAAGAGACAAAGGTAGATGAGTAAGTCAGTGTAGTCAATAATACCTTCTTGCTCAAATATAACAGAAGGTACATTAAGTAACAGAAGGGCTAACCTTGCCCATAAAATTTACAAGAGTTGAGGCAAACTTCTTCGGATTTTTCCCTCGAACAAAATGAAACGATACTCTAGCCATATCCTGCATAGCAGCAATACATTGATGTTGATTGTGATATTGAACCCTAAATACCAACAAGCAAGCTAGCTAAAAATGGATCCTCAGATTTTTTACTTGCATTGGGAATCTCAGGTCAAAATACCTTGCAATAAACTACAATTCCAACTCATACCAAAAAAAAAAACCACTGCAATCCAAATTCTTTCAAGTGCACAATTGGAAGGCCAATTGAAACAAAATCATTACATCATACTTCTCAAAAGCATTTGTGGCAAAAAAAACTTTCACCTCCAAAGCTGCCATCATAATCAACATAAAATGTAGGAAAACAATAAAAAAAGAAAAGCGATCCAAAGTAGGGAAAGAGTACTGGGAGAAGGGGAGATTTGATGTGGATCGTCCCCCACGAATATACAAGTGAAATTGCTAGACACAACATAAAAGAAGGATAAATAGGTTAATTAAAAATTATGCTCAGACAATCACCAACTTAAAATTTAAAACACCACAATTACCAATTAACCAATTAATTAAGCAGTTAGCCCTTTGAACCCCTTTTTACCCACAAGAACAACCCAACATATGAATGAATGAATGATTAATATAAGAAATCAATTAATTCATCAATCCAATCACTCACTCCTTCGATCCACCAATAAGCCAACAATCCGCAACACCCAATCAATAAATATGTCAAATAAAGTATTTAAACAATCATTTCATCCAACACATTACATGCGTGTGTGCTATTGTAAGTGTGTATGAAAAGTACAACAATAAAAATACTCCACAACATAAGCAATTTGTTCAAGCGAAAACCCTTCACGAAAAAAACCGCAGTACCAATCCCAGTTCACCTATATCTTAATCCACTAATCTCCAAATTAATTTACAAGTACTCAAGTCTTATAATTCAACAAATTTTCATGGTCAGATACTCCTTTCCGTTATAAATCTCTCCTCCGGATATCACCTACCAAAATCTTGAGTAGCTTCACTTGGACGTGCTCACCGTAATGAACCATCTAGGCCCCTTAAACAATCTTCAAGGCTTCTCACCCAAGACTCTTGGTATGCACAATCTCCAATATAGGTTTAATTAATTACCAAGCTAGATCTTCTTCTCCAATGTATGAAATCGAATAGTTCGAATAGTAAGGATCAAGATAGTTTGGCCTTTAGGACTTATGGATCTAGTGTTGTTTTTGAAGTTCTCTACAAAAGTTTTAGTCTGTTCTAGCTCATAGAGGCATACCCTAGGTGACAACTATAGCCCCTTATATATAGGCCTCAAAAACTAGAGTTAAATTGGAGCCTAAACAAACTCAAATTTGTGACCAACCGCTCGAGCCGTGAAAGTGTGGTCATAGGACAATGGTTTCTAGAGTGAAAAATAAGTCATTCTAGACCTCCAGGGAGCAAACCGCACAAGTACACAAGTGATCAGTGCCAAAGAATCGTCTCCACTAGTTCTCTAGTCCAATTTCCTTAAATGTTCAGAGACCATTCTAACCGAAGCCGAGTGAGCCGACAGTTTTTAAACTAAAAACCATGCAAAAACTAGACCTATTAAGCACTAAAGAATGTTGCTCAAATAGGATCCTACATAACTCATCATATGTTTTCAAAACACATTCAAGGTTTAGAAAATCTTTTTCATGAAAAGGCTAAAATCATTCACAGATTATCCCAATTCCATTTTAACCTAATTACCCTAAGTCTAAAAGTAAACTAATGGTTCTAGGTCTCTAGCTCATTACCTTTGACCTAAACTCTTGAAGGTTCATTAGAGATCTCATGATTTGACTTTGAAGCTTGAAATCCTCCTTCTTCGAGGCTTTCGGAACTTGATCTTTAACACATCATGACCATAGATTTACGTTAAGATTTACAACAACACTTCACGAAATTAGACAATTACAATCAATTTCCTAACAAGTTCCATGAACTTTGTCGGCCCTTGCTAGCAAGTATTTAAGAGAATTTGGTGTCATTTCCTTGTAAGGTATGACTATTATAAGATTCAAACTCCAATGGTCAGTTTGAAATATTGTGCAAACTTTTGTTCAAAATCAATGACTAAATTTCATTAAATTCTGAAAATGATCCTTTTATGATCCTATAAATATGTCAGAAAGAATCATCTCAAATGAAGAATAATGACATGGATCCCTTTTAATATTGTGTAAAACATGAAGAAAGTATCAGCCACCATCATGCCTTAATTGGTGCATTATATATTTATACTAACACATGAGTGACCATAAGAAATCATTATATAACAACTCAGCACTTTCCTCTACCTTATGAACGAAGAAAGGAAACAGTCACACAGACTAATCAGGGACTCAGCTTGATGGTAAAAGTAGTATGCCAAAGCTAACATATTCAGCAGAAGATGCAATGACACAATACTTGGAGCCTAAAGTCTGCTGTCAAACCTACCACCTCAGGAGATTCAGAATATATATACTCAGCTAGCATATCATGTAGTTCCAGAGATCCATTCCTATGAGCTCCAAATTCCACAGACCACCTAAAACCAAAGAATACAGTTTAGGTGCATTTATCATCAACATCCTGGAAGTGCATATACTCCCCACCCCCCAACACAAAAGATAAATGGAAAGACAAAACACACAACCCTAAACCACGAAATGTATACACATATGCAAAGAAATGTAATCTGTTTTACATAATAACAGGTTTACAATAGTAGGAAAAAAGGAATTGAAGCAAATTAGATTAGTAAACAGAGATGAAACATGCATGTGCCTTCTGTTGCATGTCAAAATTTATAACATACAAAACTGACAGACAGAATTCTAAAAGCAGCATGACCAAAAAATAAATAGATAAACAAATATAACCTAGAAGTAGAAAGAAATAATAGTCATAGCAGTATTAGGTGTGAGGCTTTTTCTTATTCTACTCTCTTTGAGAAAAAGTATCTGACTCTAGCCACAGGCATATCCCTTTTCCCATTACATGTCTGTGCTTCTTCTTTTATTTTATTTTTTTTTTGAGCAGGTGGCGGAGAGTGTAAGTTTGTTCTATAGTTTGAGTAAATGCATCGTCCACATATTCTTACATCCCATTTTTCTCATTTTCTCTATTATTACCCTTATTCCCATACTAAACTTCTACAAACGCTTAAACTAGTGGAGAATGGCCCAACAATATATACCATACCAGTGCAGAGTCAAGGTTCCCCGCAGTGGGGACAACCATACAATTATAAAGAACGACCGAACAATACTCATCCAAATTCATTGTGACTTACAAACAGATAATGCGCAGGCCTGTTAATGGTTGGATTTGGATCAGATTTCAGCTCATCAAAATCAAAATCTGAGTTGATACTCCATTCTGAATCCAAACTAACTATCCAACAGACTTTGTTTTTGCCGTCAATATCCAAGTCCATTTGTGTATTGAAAAATAATCTAATCCATGACTAACTTATAATTAAATTTTATCAAATTACACTTAATTTCAAGTCAATTACATTCATATGTATATATAGATTAGATGGAGAGTCGGAATACAATCAAACTATGATGATTTGACATATCCAAATCTCAATCCGTGAAATATGATATAATAGATTCAAAATTTAATTTCAAGTCAATTACATTCATATGTATATATAAATTAGATGGAGAGTCGGAATACAATCAAATTATTAGGCCTGACAATTGTGTCGAGCGGAACAGTTTCGTGTCGGGTGGAACGGGTTTGTGTTAAAAAATCCTCCATCCATACCCAATTCGTTTATATAAACGAGTTTAACTATCATACTCATACAAGAATCATTTATTAGACGAGTTATCCGATACAACCCGTGTATCACCCGCTAAATAAGAGAATAGGTTAGAATATTTCGAGTACACACGAAAAATCATTAACTTGCTACACATTATACATATTTGACTTGTTTACTATAATAATAAATCAAGCTAAGCAAAAAAATAAAGACAAAAAATAAATATTAAATGACTACTAAATTTGAATGAGTCTAAGAGATGGGAGGTATGAGATGAGGCAGAGGCTGAGAGACCTAACTTTTAAAAAAAAAATTGTAGTACCACTGTTAACGGATTAAACGGGTTGAAACGAGTTTATAAGTTAAACACAAAATCGATTCATTTATTTCACGAATCTGCCGAGTTAACCCGTTAACTACCCGAACCCTTTAAAACTACACTCAAACCCGCTAAATCCGTGTCGGATTCGTGTCGATTTCACGAGTTGTGTCTAGAATTGCCAAGCCTACAAACTATGGTGATTTGATATATCCAAATCTCAATCCGTGAAATATGATATAATAGATTCAAAATGATAATTGTTCACAAGTATCAATCCATACTTAACTAATCAAATTTGGAACCAGTCAAATTCAAATCCAAATTGAATCTATTGACATGCTTAATAGTGAGTGATGACTGAATATCTTCAAGCCTTCAACCAAATCGTAGGCCTTCTATATGTCAACAACAATTGAGTAGAAAAGGTGTGGGAATGGTTGGATCGGTGAATTGGCATGCCATGCACGGAGTAGAGAATGAAAAAAAAACTAAAGAGAGACTAGTGATATTGAATCGCACAAGGGAAGTTTGAGACTAAGTTTTTAATTTATGATAAAATCCCACTTAATTTTAAAATGTGAAACTACCCCTAAGTTTTTCCACAAATTCTTTAGTGAGGGCAAGTTCTAAAAGATTCTACAAATTTTGAACACACCGTAAAATTTTGTAATTGTGGTGCGTGCAAGTGTCCCACCCAAACTCACCCCCTAATCATATATTAAGCACCCTTTCTCATGGAGAAACCCCCACTCAACAATTAGAGAAAGAAATACACAAACACATAAGCATATTAAACTGAAAAGACACAAGCTAAAAAAATAAAAATAAAAAGAGACTTGAATCTAAGACCATATAGAAACAAAGCTTAGATACCATGTTAGACAGTCACTAACCCTACAAGCTTAAGTCATTGAAGATTGAAGAATGGACCTGACATGGTATATTTGTTGCTCAATATATGTAATACTCTATCATAGTTCCTAGAGCTATCAAAATTTGACACGACATGATTAACCGACACAAATTAAGCGAGTTTGAATGAGATCCTAACGAGTTTGGGTGAGATCTTAACGGATCTGGATGATAAACGAGTTAACACGCCAAACACGTTTAATAAACGGATCGTATTCACGTGAGAGCTGTCAAACCGTTTATCACACGTTTACCTGTTTAAATAAAATTAATATAATAATAAATTAATAATTATTTTAAAAAATTAACAAAAAAAAAGTAAAGAAATCAATAAAAAAATAAAATAAAATAGTAGTTCAAGACAAAAAAGAGGAGATGGGGAGCACTTCAAAAACAAAGGCAAACCAATGCCTTTTGTTTTTGTCCCACATTGGAAAATGAGAAGAGATGGGGAGAGCTGAGTTGCCTATAAAAGGCAATGGCCTCTTGCTTCTTGTTTTTTTTAAGTCTTCAAGTCTTATTTTTATGAGATTTGACTAAAAATTCCTATTTTTTAGGTAAGTGCAATTGACAGTAAAAAAAAGTGGAGTATTAAAATTTATTGATATAATTTTTTTAAAATTAAACGGGTTAAACATGTCGTGTCGTGTATGTATTTATATGTTTTTCACCCGTTTAACCCGACACATAACCGTTTAACCCTACACGATTGACACCCCTAATGGTTCCTCATTTTGAGATTACCAAGTGAGCAAATAAAGTATTTAACTTTTGTATGTACTTGCATTACTAAAATTTGGTGCATAATGTTCATGAAATTCTAAGTCATAAATTGATGCTCAATCACTGAAATTAGAATTGCATGTTCCATCATGGATACAAACAGTATTTCTAACATTTGGGTTCAGAACAATAATTGTTGCTCAATAACAAGTCTGTGCAGGTACTGTTCAGTCAGCTACATGAACATCCTAAAGATGCATAGAACTGCAACGTAGTCAAAGGTACAGGGCATGAAAGAAGATTGATGTATCAAGTGTCATTAAATTATGCAGCACCAAAGAGATCTTGACGGGAATTTGAAGTCCCAACAACAGATTACTATGATAACATCAATGATTAGTTCTGAGAATTGTTTATGCCAACCAAACTCTTACTTTATCATAAAACAATGGCAGAATATCTCACTTAATAGCAGCTTTTAAAAATGACGAGCAGCACTCCACACGCGTTTTTGCTGCCCCAAGGAATTCAGAAAGTTGTTGTACATCATCATCATCTGTTAAGTCCAAGTGTTGTGGCACAGAAATTCGAGGGAACTTCTTGTAAATTCTCCTGACACAGTCTAAGATTGATATTTGTCATAATCAAGAAGAAATACAAAACAATGGAAAAATTAGTACTTCAATCAAGACTAGGAATCTAGAGATAATCTACATTACAGAAGTTGCCGACACATAGTAAACAGAAGAATAAAACTATCAGACTACTCGTCAAATGCATAAACCAATTTATTCAAAGTTACAATGTCACGCCTTATAGTTAGGTCTAAGTACAAAGACACTTCTTTGATAGCGGTGATTCCTGAAAGATTCTTCTTGTAATACCAATTTTAGCCTTAGGTCAAATAATATGCATTGTAGACTAATTTAAAAAATAAAAAGATGAAATTATAAGATGAAACATAAAAAAATATTGTTGTCTCTATCTCCTCAATTAAACTAGAAAAAATAAACAAAAAATATATATAAAAAAGAATCATGTCCATAATTCATAAATTAAAAAAGGGAAAAAAATACACAGAGAAAATAAATAAAACCAAACTTTTCCAAAATGTAGACTAGATGATTTGAAAAAATAGATATTATTTTTATAATTTTCACTTCTGTTTTTATATAAATAAAAAAAAATGTACAAATATTGTTACAGCTTTGAAAAAATGACCAGTGTAATACTCTAAAAATTGCAGCTTCCGCTATCTAAAACTCTAAATATTGTTCAATTTTACAAGGGAAAACTCACGCCCCTGCGCCCGCGCGGGGGGGGGGGATGCCGGTGTATTTTCAGAAAGGAGTGTCCTTATATTAGGACAATCTAACAGGGTTCTAATTGTTATTTACTCTATTTGTATAATTGTATCTATAAATTTATTTTTTCCAACTTACTTATCAATTACTCTCTCCCATACATAACTTTTGTTCATTTTTTTCTTATTCAAAGATGTACATTGCCACGCATGCCTGGCGTCAAACCAAATCCTTTGTATGCATCACGCAACATAAGAGGAAAAGTTAACAAGACCATAAAATACATCACAAACTATGAACTAACCAAGAGTATCATCATCATAAGGATATTTTCCCTTTACAAGTGTCTCCACGAACAACACAGCTAGCTCAGCCCCACAAGTCACCTGAAAAAGATGTATAGTGTAATCAATATATATGGATTTTGCAAGGAAAAAAACAACAGTGGATGATGTTCATGAAATAGTTTTTCTTCGAGAAAAAAAAAACAAAGTTTCAACTAGCTTCACAAAGATACACTGATCAAAATAGGCCCGTGCATCATGCTGCCATAGGTCCATTTTTACTGTTTCACAAAACCATACATTAGGCAAGGTATTTTTATTTTAGAAAATTTCCAACTTGATCCCTGTGCATTTGCACCCCTGCTACCTATTTGATGTACATCAATTATGTATCTCATTGACAGAAACATAGGCCACAGTAGATAAACGCAATCTAGTGAACATACAATTCATAATGGAACAAAAGCATCTTATATTGAACATGGATAACAATACTCTAAATGCGTACTATATACTTGTGGTGGCATAGCTAGCTAGCCAGACTAAGCAGCTAATTATGTTGAAGAATGATGCAAATAGGCCTGCCATTAATCAAATGGTGATATCAGTCCAACTCAAAACAACCTGAATTCCATATCCAAACAAAATTTCAAATTCAACTGCGTATCACCTGCGCATTTGCCAACTGGATGCAAGCACCCGCCTGAAGAACATCCAAGGCCTCCGAATATCTTTCGGCGGCTATATATCTGTAATAAAACACACATTTTTATTTATTGCACACATCTAAAAACGAAACCTACAATTAAGAAACAGTAGCATTAAAACTAAAACACGCATCCAATTATAGATGTGTGCATTTTTATTTATTGCACACATCTATAAATGAAAGTGCATCCAATTAAGAAAGCAATAGTACTAAAAAAAAAAGCATACACATACACAAAAACATATGCATACATATATACATATACATCTAAATGTTGAAGCCCGAGTTTTCACCTTGCGCTAGTAGACTTGTACATCTGTTGAGCTCCATAGTAATTGCCTTCCTTCACAACTTTCTCTAACTTATCAATATTCTGCAATTAACAGTTCAAAAAAAAAATCTTCTGAAAAAATTCAATCTCATAACCCAATTAACTAATTGCTAGCCACCAATTAGGCTGCAATACGATAAATCAACCAAAATCGATGCAGATCAATAATAAAAACAGTTCAATATTATTTCGAAATTGAGCTTAATTTGCACCTGCTGAGCTGGAGGGAGTGTCGTCCGCTTAGCTCGCTCTCGCAACATGGCCTCTCTCGATTGCTTAGTCGATCGTCTTCGCGACAGAGATCTGTTTGATTCTCACTCTGGCCACGAACACGGGCACTGCTTAATGTACCGTTTGTCGACTGGTCTCGGCGGTATGAGACCGATGTGTAATGGCTTCAGCTCGCGGTGTAAGTGGGTTGTACTTGTACCTTATATTAGTCCAATTGGACCACAATAACCTAGTTGGAAACGGACGTCTCATTTCTAATAAAAAAATACCCGAATTTTAAATATCATAATAATGTTTTCGTGTTTCGTATTATCACTAATCTGAGAATAAAAATTTATTTTATGATTATTTTTAATACGAGTAAAATATAAAAAAAAAAATTGAGGATATAAAGTTAAAAAATTTAATTTTGAGGGTACAAAGTGTAATTAGTAAGTGGAAAAGAATAGGACCAATATTTTTCAAATTCTCATTTTATGCTTTTAATAATTAGATTTTTGACATTATATAATTAATATGTTAAAAGTATTATAATATGGTTATTTTGTTATTTATTCCATCAAAACCCATCTCATCAAAGTTCAACGAGTGAAAAAAAATTAAGGAGAATTACACATAAATTTTCTGAATTTTGTCACTTAATCACTCAAACTCCTGACATTTAAAATATTACAAACAAACCCTTGAATTTTGTACACGCGTAACAATTTGACCCGTAAATATATTATTTAATAAATTATACTTAGACTCTCTAAACTTTTTAGGTATATAATATTTAGACCCCTTCAATTTAAAATATTATACTTAGACCAAAAATATTCCAATCAAATATAAAATATTTTAAATTTTACAACCAAAATTTATGTTCTATTATGAATGACTTAAACCCCTTATTTGATTTTTTATTTTTATTCTAATAGATAGAATAATTGTATACTAATTACGATTTTTTTTAAAAAAAATAATTTTTTAATTTTAATTTTATTTCAATAAATGATATAGTAGAACATGAATTTTTGTTGTAAAATTTAAAATATTTAATATTCTATATTTAATTGGAATATTTTTTTTAAGTATAATAATTTAAATTTAAAGGGCCTAAGAATTATATACCTACAAATTTTATGAGAATCTAAGTGTAATTTATTAATAGATATATTTACAAAAATTGTCTAAGTATTACCTACGTACAAATCTTAGAGGTCTATGTATAATATTTTAAATATTAGGGATCTGAGTAATTAAGTGACAAATCTCAGGAGGTCTTGATATAATTCTCCCAAAAAATTAATAAAAAAATCACGTTGCAACACTTTTAATACATTAAGGTACAATGTAAATAATCTCATCTTCAGGTTGCAAAATGGAAAATTTTCAATCTTTCGGGGTGGAAGGTGAGATTCCCAGGAAGAATAAGCGACGAAATCAGCAGAGGAAAGAGAAGCCCCCAAACAAGCCCCTTGCTCTGAAAGTCGGCGTCCAACCCCAACTTTCTGGCCGACACGCTGCTTTGTGGTGCTTACTTGGATACATTCTCAGATTCGTCATTTGAACTTGTAAATTTGGGGCTAAATGGGTTCTAGTTCACAGGCCTTACGAGCTTCGATGGTGTATCGCCACCTTCTCAAAGCTGTCCAGAAACACATCGGAAAGGAAGACCACAAGACCCATTTCATAGATTTCATCAAATCAGAGTTCAAGAACAACGCTCAACAGTCAGCCCAATATTCATTCACCAGAAAATAAGGCTTGCCCGTGATTATGCTCTTTACATGAACAGCGTTCACCAACACAAGGTACTCTTAGCTTTCATTATTCACATATAATATACGCGTTTATGTAACTATATATGAATATATTTTGGGTTTATGCAAACAATTTGTTTGTTAATTGAAGGGTCTGTCTATATTTAAGCGGCTACAAAATGGCAATATGGTTAGAATTTGGTTCTTGTATATTGTTTAAACGATCGTATATGGTTGTGTTTATGCATGCAATCTGTTTGTTAATTGGCGGGGCTGTCTATGTTTAAGCGGTTACTATTGTGAAATATGGTTTTCCAATTCGAACTTTAGTTCTTGTATGGTGTTCAAATGGATCTGAATATGGAATACTAATAACAGATTTCTCAAATCAATGCCCATTGGGTGCTAACATTATTTTTCATTATTTTGTCAAGTAATGATCCATCTTGTATACCTCGTTCTAGTTGACCTTTCTAACTTCCTGTTCAAACGTGTTATATAGTTAT